TTTGAACAGTAGCGTGTGTGTGTGTGTGTGTGTGTGTGTGTGTGTGTGTGTGTGTGTGTGTGTGTGTATAAAAATACATTCACTGAACATAGTGGGGCATGTTGTCACATTACTAAACTTGCAATTAACTAGGCTTTTCAGCAATATTTAAACAGTAAAACATTTATGAAATACAAAATTCATGAAACAAAGCAAAGCAAAGATTTAAAACACATGTGACAACATGCTCCAATATAAAATACAAATTTGTTCTGGGGTCCTACTGATCATAAGTATGTGTGTGTGTTTAGGCTCCAGTCCAGCCACAGCATTCCTGAAGCAGAGCGGAGTGCACATGGACTCCAGAGGATTCATCCCAGTCAATAAGGTTCAGTCTTTGAGCACGGCTGTTCTATATGTTCCTGTGGCTCAGTGGTAGAGCATTGCGTTAGCAGTGCAAAAGGTTGTGGGTTCGATTCCCAGGGAACACACATACTGGTAAAAAATGTATAGCCTGAATGCACCGTAAGTCGCTTTGGATAAAAGTGTCTGCTAAATACATAAATTATTAATTATTAATTAATTATATGTACTGTACATCTGTTACTGCATCTTCTAGCACATAAACATCTGGTGCCATTCAGAACGTGTGTGTTTCTGCAACCTGTGCTAATCTTGTGTCTATTGTAGCTGTAATAAATTGTTGTTTTAGTACGCTGACTTTGAGTATTTTATGATAATAAGCTACAAAGGACAAGCTACAGTACAAAGCGTATGTAAACATATACCTTTAACCCTTTCAGACCATGCAGACGAACATTGACGGGGTCTTCGCTGGAGGTGATGTGGTAACGTTTCCTCTAGCTCTACGTAGCAATAAGAAGGTGAACATACCCCACTGGCAGATGGCTCACGTACACGGTAAGACCTGTAGCACATTGGGATGTATTCATGTGCTTATGCCAAAGATGCCATGTTTTATGAATAATAAATCAAATTTCATTCATTTTTACATTTTTACGTGGTCTTCCACCACAGGTAGAGTGGCTGCACTTAGCATAATGGGAAAAGCCTCAGACATTAAAACGGTGCCTTATTTCTGGACAGCAATGTTTGGGAAAAGCATACGATATGCAGGTAAGGACAAACGTCTAGCACTAAAAATACACATGAAAAAAAAAAGCGCCACACTTTAGTTTCAGCGTCAGTGCTCCTCTGATGCATCACAAGTGCTTTTAATCTTATTGTCAAGGTTATGGAGACGGCTTTGATGATGTCGTCATCCAGGGAGATTTGGATGAGCTGAAATTTGTGGCATTCTACACAAAGTGAGTTGATTTGGTTCTTATTTGTCTAAATTTGAGCCAGGCATTTATAATTATTAAAATGATCACACCAAAAATCATTTCTAATTTAGATAAAGAAATGATTATGTTGTTATATATTATTATGAAGTACTCATTTTTATTTTATGGTACTATACTATTGCAATAATCATATATTTTTATTGTTTTGTTTTATTCTAATTGTTTTATAATTTAATTAAACAGCTGTATGTAGTCAGATTAAATGGGGTTCATACAATTATGAATTAATCATGTCGTTTTATTGATGTAACTGATCAGAGTACTTAAAAATTATAATATAAAAATAATATATTTTTTAAAAAATTCAATAAAAAACAATCGAGAACTTAAATCTTTTACACAAGTGATTTACTCAGAAAGCATTATTGATTAGTTATAACCGAGTCTCTGATTAAAATGAGTTGCAGGGACTGAACTATAGTTTCTGTGATTAATATTGGATATTGCTAATTATGTTAATCATTGCAAATATTATGCGTTTATGTTTTTTTAAAGACACAATCTGTACAATTTATAAAATCTACTATCTTAACTGCATTATTCTTATTTTCTGAAATTGGCCTTAATGACTACGGTCTCTTGGGCTGCTGTGGTAATAAATCTCCAGCTGCTAGAAAGTGAAAGGAATAAATAAAATCAAAGTGAAAAAAGATCTTAATCTCACAGATGAAAGAAATAGATCAAAATAATAACCAGATTTACTGGGCGTCACTTGCTAAGGCAAATATCACTGTTATAATTGCTTATATAGAGTTAGTGTTTTATGCAAACACACTGCAACATACTTAAAGCGACAGTTCACCCAAAAAAAATCAACATTTTGTCATTTACTCACCCTCATGTTGTTCCATCCAAACCTATATGAAATTCTTTCTTCTGTTAAACACAAAAGAATATATTTTGAAGAATGTTAATAACCAAACAGTTGCTGGTAGCCATTGACTTCCATAGTATTTTTTCCATTCCTTTAAACCCACTCATGAACACCTTAGCAACTGCTTAGAAATGACCTGGCAACTACTTGCATTGTGACTGTGAGTCTTGCATTATTCAGTTTACTTCAGAAAATGTAAAAATGTATTATTATATGATTTATAGAAGTATTTAATATTATACTGCATTATTGCTGTTTTAGCAGAGCTTACTAATATTTGAGTTCTTACAGTATTTCCCGTGTGTGTTGTGTGTTTAATCTGCGGTGATTACAGGAGTGAGGAGGTGGTGGCCGTGGCCAGTATGAACTACGACCCTATTGTGTCACGGGTTGCAGAAGTCTTTGGCTCTGGAAAGACGATTAGGAAACGTGACGTGGAGTAAGAACATTTTCTATTTTCACAGAAAACAACAAATGTAGTAAGATTTTCCATGGTTTAAACATGTCAAAGCAAAAGTGACAGTTCAGACTTGTTTTCAACATTGATTATAATAAGAAATATAAGAAGTAAATCAGCATATTAGAATAATTTCTGAAGGATCATGTGATACTGAAGACTGGAATAATAATCATAATATTCAAATAGAAAAGAGTTATTTAAAATTGTAATAATATTTCATAATATTGCTGTTTTTAACTGTATTTCTGATCAAATAAATGCCCCCTTGGTAAGCATAAGAGACTTCTTTCAGTTTATGACACAGAGCATGAGAAAATCCCCATTACAATGAGTTTAGTTTTGCCTCTTTCAAAAGCGTTTACTCTTAATTCAAGAATGTTTGTGCAACCTGGCAAGTGTGGAAACATGACCTACATTATTTTACATTGTGTCTAACATAAGACCTGCACCAGTGTTATTTTAGTATTGTTAACATACTGGGCCCTATCATACACCCGGCGCAAGGCGCGGTGCAAGTGTTTTTGCTAGTTTCAGCCCAACGCAGTTCTTATTTTCCCGTCCTGCACCGTATTGTTTAAATAGCAAATGCATTTGCGTCTATTTGTGCGCCCATGGGCGTGCTGGTCTAAAAAAGTGGTGTGTTCAGGCTAGGGCTGTGCAATATATCGAAATATATTATTTAATGAGTTATCGCATATCGCATTTTTCTTCAATATCGCACAGTCCTAGTTCAGGCGCATTGTTGGCGCGTTGCTATTTTGAGGAACTGAAAATAGACTAAGCCATAGACCAACTCAAACCTGATCTAAAGTCTGGCGCAATATTTTTTCTTTGTTATTTAAAGAGCGCGTTAGTAATATGCACCTATAGGCAGGTGCACAACGCTCGTACACTTTGCTTATTACACACACAGGGACGTGCAGCACACAAACATTTTTAAAAATGAAAAATTACATTCCGCCATGGCACGAGCGCAACTGGCTTTTAAAGGGGATGGGAGATGAGACTCTGGTTTATTGCACGTTACGCCCAAAAAACACCCATTACTAATTAAGAGAATAGGGACAACCCGTTTAGACCATGCGCCCGGGCGTGCCGACCGTTTTCCCGTCGTTAAACTAGCAAAAGTGGATTCGGACACGCCCTCACCTGCGCCGTGCGCTTTAGACCATGCGCTTAGATAGTTAAAATAGGGCACACTAAAACGTTTTTATTCTGAATTAGCTTTAATTGTAATATTTTTTTTTATTTTAATATTTTTACATTTTAATTTAATTTTTTAAAAGTTTTTTGTATTTTGTTATGTTTTTTTCATTCTTTTTTATTAAATATTATTATTTCAGTTTATTTTTATGCCCGTTGTACTGTTAGTTCGGTGTACGTTTTTTGAACTTGAACTTTCAAATTTCACTTTCAAATTTTCATTTAGTTTAGGTTTTTCACCTAATATTTTTATTTTATTTCAGTTAACTAAAATATTTGTAATAGTTTTAGTTAACGATTATAGCTGACACACACTCCTTGCATTTTAACCTTCTTAGCTAGAATAGACGGTAACTGATGTTTACAATTTTTTTACGTTTTTTTTTTTTATATTACTATTTAAGTTAAAATTATTTTTATTTTAGTTTGTTTTTCAGTTAGTAATTTTAGTACTTCAGTTTGAACTTTCAAGTTTTTCACCTAATATTTTTTTTTTTTTAGCTTTATTTCATTTAACAAAAAATATTTTTAACCGTTTTAGTTAATGATTATAACTCTGACACATACTACTTGCATTTGAACCTTCTTAACTAAAAAGGACATTGACCGATGTTTGAAATTCTGCATTGTATTATTTTCCCTGCAGGACAGGAGACATGTCATGGCTGATCGACAAAGGCTCGCAGTGAGGATGTGATCAGCTCAGCACAGCAAGCTCCTTGAGCTTTCCTTGCCAAACTTGGACGATCTCCTGTAACAGATGTAGTCTTAAGTGCTGCAGCTGCAGTTGGTTAAGTGGGGAGACGTACACCGTCCTAACCCGAGCACCTGGGCCGTGCCGAGGACATCGTCCCCGTGAGGTGGCACCTCTCCGGGCCTGGATCCATTCACAGCACTAACAAATGAGCCATACCTGGTTTTTAACCCTCCGTTCTAGACGGGACAGTTCTCTCTCTCTCTCTCCCTCTCTCTCTCACGGGTTGGCCAAATATTTAGCATGAAGCATCTGCCTGTACACAATGTTCACAGGAGAGCGGTTAAGGGGAATTGTCATATTTTATTTTGTACATGTGACTTTGTATATAGCTGTTAACTGAAGATACATTCAAACAATAAGACTGCACTTTTTTCTACTGAATAGCCAGGCTATGGGAATGAGAACAGAGCTGATGTCTGGCTCACATCAAAATATGCAGCTTCGCTTGTGGCAGTTTATAGATGTAGAGAGCAGATGCATGATAATTCATATGCATAGGGCATTAGTTTTCATTAAGACTCTCCCAAAGGATCTGTGGGATCATTATTCAGGGAAGGTAACAAGGTCCATATGTCAATGTCTATGAATATAAATCAAATATAATGTATGATATAGTATTATCATACATCACAATGTGTGATATAGTATTATCATACATATATCAAAATTCACAGGTAGATAGGTGAATCTCACAAAGCCAAATCCGAAAGAAAAAAAAAAAAATAGATATACTTTGATTAAAAGAAAATGAAGCCTGTGAAATGCATTTTTTTTTCATTGTGACATTATTTTCATAACATTTACCCCAAATTCTCATTATTGTAATGCAAAATAAAAGTGCAAAAATAAAATTGTGAAAAAAACATTTTATTTAGATCTTATTTCAAGTATGTACAAATCATAGCAGTATTTGTTGTACTGTATTTAATATTTCCTGATTTAAATAAAAAATGCTTTTACATATATTGCAGTAATGAGAATTTGTGTATATATATATATATATATATATATATATATTTGATATTATATTTGAATTAGACTGAAGCAACTACTGCTGAAAATTCAGCTTAAAATATAAAATATTTAAATATATTTTAAGTTATTTTAAATGTTATATATATATATATATTTAAACATTTATTTCTTTTTTCACATTTTAAGGGCATTATTTTCACGAGAATTATTAAGCACATTCCTCCTTACTTCAATGTTTCACTTATTACTGTAATACAGTATATTTTTAGATATTATTTTCTTTATGCAATATATATATATTTTTTTTCTTTTATGATTTTGAGGTAAACTATGACCTGGATGTGTTATTGACAGGCTTCATGAATCGCCGAATCTTTTATTGAATTCTTCCAGCCATGAAGTATTTCAAGTTCAAATTTACAGTATAATCTCCATGGCAATAAAGCGATACTGTCATTTTGAATGTTCTCACCCCAAACTGAAGCATGACCCCGTGCACCAGGACTGGCCTGAAACAATGACAATATACCTCTTGCTCATGGGAACTGTGGTTGCCCTGCTAGTAAATTGCACAAGACGACAAATATTTAAAGCTATAACTTTATCTATAGAAATGCTCGTATTATAAGTGGCTTGTATTTTCTGACTAATCGTAAAATGATTTATTGATGACGGACTGATTGATTGTTTTTTTAGATTTTACGCAATAACGAATGCTTCTCTTGTAGCTCTGACCTCCTATAGCTTTTCTTTGGTACTAACTCAGGGATTGGAGGTTTCAGTCATATGGGACAGGTTCTGGTGGAATAATAAAAAAAAGATGAATAAATTTGTTGCTATAACATTTTATTGGGCTGCTTGTTCTTTCAAATATACTCACAGAAAACATAGCAAGATAAAAATCAGCATAGCTATAAAAAAAACACATTTTAAAGCCTTCAATTTAAAATAACATCCATTTGGAAAATCAGTATAACAATATGCTATGAAATCTGAATTATTGCAGTCATAATAAAAGGCATTTTTGCAACACTGAGGTAAATGCATGTTCATTTAAAAGTCATGGAAGTGCTACAGTTTCTTGCATTTAAAAAGCTGAAAAATACCACCCTGCACCCTGTATATATGGATGGGTAAAAAACTGACTCTCACTTAGTTTACATCTTCAAACCCAGCTATTTCTCAAAAAAAAAAAAAAAAAGATGCAAGTCCTTAGTATTCATAAAACAATGCCCTAAGAGAATAATTCTAAAATGTTATCATTTTTAGGCAGCATCACTTCAGAACACTACAAAACAATCATTTTAAAACCACATTTAAACAACATATACATAGACAAACATGCAACGGTACATTCACATACATATGAATGACAGAAAGACCTCAAGTTAGTCGAGTGCTTTTTCTGTGGCTGCTGGGAGAAATTCTTCTGTGTTACATTATAAAAAGTAGAAATGTGTCTTAATAATATAAACACTGTGTAAAGAGTATATGAAGTTGAATTTGGTACCTTTGGTTTCTCCCACAGTGCTCCTGGAGATCAAAAGAAGGCCACAGAAACCAGGCTAATGTCTCAGAATTTTGTCATTACATGGTGATAATGTAGCTTATTGGCTAAAAACAGTTCAAGGTCTGATTATTAAAAATGATTCATATAGAAAAACTAGCTGGTGTAAGATAATATTGAGGTCATGTTTGTATATCACATTTTGTTCAACACTATTCACATTTAACAAAAAGGCACCGATTTGTTATTCTTCTCACTCATGTAAATATGAAACTACATCATTGTTTTACACATGCATCCCCCGAGTTAAATCAACTCTGCTCAGAGTACATATTGTCCCAATCTACAGGGTGTTAAAGTAACACTGAAGCAGAGTTACCACTGTTGAGGATTATGTGGTAAGTTTTCATGTCTAAAAGCCTGAGCAGTAATTGTTCATGTTCAACATTGTTAACAGTGGGTTTTCTTTACTAGTGCTCAGTCATTACTTAATTAACTGCTTAATTGTCCCATTAACTTTAACTCGGCTTCAGTGTTACTTTAACACTCTGTAGATTGGGACAATATGTACTCTGAGCAGAGTTGATTTAACTCTGGGGATTTTGCTGTGGGATGTACTTTATATGAATTATTCCGACGACTCTGATGTGACCGATGGCTGTCATGCAGGCTTCCTTCAGAAATCATATTCTGCAGCACACTGACGAAGATACTCCTCATACAGCTTCCGCTAAGATAAAGATGACAAATATTACAAGATTAGAAGACGAAATCCTTTGAAAGGCTCATATTTCAAACGCAGGTTGTTTTCAGTTCTCTCACATCTCTGCTGAAAAACCAACATGGAGGTTAAGGTGGTTAGCTGGTCTCACAGTCAAGCCAAGCTGGTTAAACTGCTCTGGTTTAATGGTTTTTAGTTTAGCTCTAAATTAACACAGGCGCAAACTATATTAAATTGTATAACAGTTATAAAAAGTCATATTGATAATCATTTTTTACAACATTTTAACGTTTGTAAATTGAAAATAAGCAGTGGATGGGATTAAACTAACAATTTCACAGAAATTCATAAAGAATTTATTAAGTAATGAATCACTTTCACACCATTTTTGCTACTTCAGTTTAAATTCTAAACACTAGCGAAACAAACTCCTGTTCAAATTTTTGGGGTTGGTAAGCTTTTATCATGTATTTGAAAGAAGTCTCTTATGCTCATCAAGGCTGCATTCAATCAAATATGCAGTTAAAACAGTAATTTTGTGAAATAGTTTTCTACTTTAATATATTTTAAAATGTAATTTATTCCTGTCATGCATAGCTGAATCTTCAGTGTCACATGATCCTTCAGAAATCATTCTAATATGCTGATTTGCTGCTCAAGAAACATTTGATATTATTATTCATGTTGAAAACCGTTTCTGCTGCTTAAAGTGTTTTTTTTTTTTTTTTTTTGGAAAACCATGATAAACTTTTTTCAAGATCCTATGAGTAAGTTACAAAAAACACAGCAATTATTTGAAATATAATTCTTTTGTTACATTATAAATGTCTACACTGATCAATTTAATGCATACTTGCTGAATATAAATAAATAAATACATGTAAAAACTTGAAGACCCCAAACTTTTGAACAGTAATGTAAATTTCAACACAAGCAAGGATTGTGAGACTAATGTACATCTTTAGGAAAATGAATGGCTAAAAAAAAACTGTAATTATGATATTCACAATGATGCTTAAAGTATGTCGTACCTTCTTGGATTTGACGATATCCTGGATGTAGTCACTGTACTCTGCCAGTTGTTTCTTCTCTCTTTTAGTCAGCGTCTTACTGCCCTGACTGAAGGAGATCAGAGCATTGAGAGGGCTGCTGTTAAACTGATGAAGTGACCATTAAAAAACAGAAATCAGCTCAAGAATTGAATTACAGTAAGTGGCACAGTATACTGAAAGTTTAAACACTAGCATTCATTGACTGCACTAGATTCAAATCTTGATATATTTTTCAGATACTGTATATCTTGACATATATTAATATATATTAATGCTACTTTAGATTAAGGTTTTTAAGCATCTTCCCTTAATAAACTCCTAATTTGCTGCTTATTGATAGTAAGTAGTAGTAGTAGTAGTAATCTAAGTAGCATCTAACGCTAACTTCATGGCAAAAATTGACTTGGAATAATACAGAGGATGAAGAGCGATGGAAGGAAGATTCCCACAACTCCACACAGGAAATAATTAAAACGATTACTTTTATTGCTGCTCACATTCATCCTGAGGGAAGACAAATACATGCAAAGCTGATAAACATTACATATATGAGCTCTAGAGTCATGATACATAGCAGATGATGTGATATAGTGCGGATGGATGGATGTGTACCGGTCCTGTTCCAGTGTATGGTTGATGGTAGAGATGATCAGGTTACAGTCTTTCTCCAGCTGGTCAAGTGTTTTTTGCACTGCCTGGTTTATGCTCTTCTCAATGGTCTCACAAACCTCATCAATCTGGTTGATGCATCTGCTGGGCTGCACACACAAACACACAAAAACAAAACTTAAATCATTTTATATTCACTTCATCAACTATCTATAGTAGTAGTATCATATGCAATAACATTGTAAAGCAAAAAGTGGACTAATGGAATGAAGAATTATTTTATGGTCATTACCAACAAATTTATGCATATTGGCATTGCCATTGAAAAAAATAAAATAAAGGGTTAGTTCACCCAAAAATGAAAATTCTGTCATTAATTACTCACCCTCGTGTTGTTCGAAACCAGTAAGACCTTCGTTCATCTTCGGGACACAATTTAAGATATTTTTGATGAAATATGAGGGCTCTCTGACCCTCCCATAGACAGCAAGGTAACTACCACGTTCAAGGTCCAGAAAAGTACCAAGATGATCGACAAAGTAGTCCGTGTGGCATCAGTGGTTCAACTGTAAAGTTACAAAGCTACGAGAATACTTTTTTTGCGCAAAGAAAACAAAAATAACGACTTTATTCCACATTTTCGTCTCTACTGCGTCACTTGAGGACGTGCGCTCACAACAGTATCATGACGCAAGCGTGTGGCGGCGCTGACCCAGATCCGGTGTAACGAAATCATCACGCCGGATCTGGGTTAGCGCCGGCGCCACCACAGTTCTTTTTTATTAAAGTCATTATTTTTGTTTTCTTTGCGCAAAAAAGTATTCTCGTAGCTTTGTAACTTTACAGTTGAACCACTGATGTCACACGGACTACTTTGTCGATCATCTTGGTACTTTTCTGGACCTCGAACGTGGTAGTTACCTTGCTGTCTATGGGAGGGTCAGAGAACTCTCAGATTTCATCAAAAATATCTTAAATTGTCTTACGGATTTGGAACAACAAGAGGGTGAGTAATTAATGACAGAATTTTCATTTTTGGGTGAACTAACCCTTTAAGGACGTGAACAACTGCATTTTTAGCAGATGAAAAATGTTGATTTAGTGCTCAAGAATTTTTTTTTTTTTTTTTACTAATATCAATGTTGAAAACAGTTCTGCTGCTTAATATTTTTGTGGAAACCAACATTTTCTGATGCATAGAAAGTTCAACAGCATTTATTTGAATATATTTGTAACATTATAAACATCTGCACTGTATATTTTGATCAATTTGTGTCCATGCAAATAAAAGTATTGAAAAAAAAGCTTAAGTAAGCTAAAAATTCTTTTTTTTTTTGAACGGTAGTGCATTATATAAAGCAGCCTGAAATCACGTTTATCTTTTATGTCGTATTAGCATCAGTCCATTTCTCCTTTAAGTTGGGCTTTTAAGAGAAGTGTCTCTGCTGACAGACAGAACTAATTAATGTAAATGCTGCAGAGAGACATAAATCCATTTCCTCTGACACAGCAGTGCAGCATGGGCAGGCTTCCATTACTCATGTCACTTCTAGGAGGAAAACCATGGACATTTAACCAGCACAGCAATCTGCTACCATCATCTCTTACTTTTTGAGGGTTGGGGATGTATATCGTGGGCATTTCGAAGCCACATTTGTTGAGTCCAGGTCTCCGGCACAGCTCTTGGACAATCTGCATCATCACTCGCTGTGGGAATAAAATCAACACCAACACCGACTGAGACATTTGACCTTAAGATGGGTTAATGCTAAATAGGTTTAAAGTGACAGAGAAACCCTAGAGGACTGGATTTGTAATAGCACCTGTTTGGCTTCCTGTCAGAGAACAAACTATTATGGCAAGAAGATCAGGAGTACAGATTGAAGTGAGACTGGAATTACCATATTAAATTTGTAAGTCCAGACAGTTCCAGACAGAAATATATCAGTGTACTGAGGTAAGATGTTTTCGTACGTTTATATTGACTTTAAGGGCAGTGGAGGTGCACACA